ATTGAATTATAGACATGTGGTTACAAATGTGTTTAGAAATTCGAAACCGTTGACTAAATTTTGCAGCAAGTTGTGTATCTAACAGTTAATGATTCCTGAGGGGTTGCATAATAAACAAAACCATGATACCTATACAAGTGGAATTAAATACGGATTATAGTTTATTTACAATCTTTTATATAATAATAACAAAGCACGTAATTTACAAAGACGCAGATCTTTAATCTTCTTCTCTAATTCTTTCTTTGTAGAAAAACCAAAAAATGAGACCAATAATTATTAAAGCATAAGAAATTAAATATCGTATATAGTAAATCGAATCATCTTGTAGGGGCGGAATGAAAGCTCCGACACAGATGAGAACTGTTATTATAATAAATATCCAAATTAGTAGTTCAGGAACCAACGGGTCTTTGAACTCATCGGTGTTGTTCCTTAAGACCTATTTTTTAAAAAAAAAAAAAAAATTTTTTTTTGATTCGATTGTTGCGATATGATCAAAGTTAAATAATTCAAATTCGATATTTATGAAACAATGTCTTACCAATAATCCAATTGCGCTAAAACCGTAGAATATAAGAGCCAGGTATTGGGTCATTGTTACAAGTATTTCATAAGGATTACTTGTTGGAAAGAAGAAAATAAACAATGAACAATAAATCCATTGAGTCAATAATGCGTTAACTGGGGCTTCATGAGGAAACGTTGCGAATCTTTGAGGAAGGATGTAAGAAAGGTATTCAATTCTACTGAAATTCTTTAAATTCGGAGAAAAATGGGGAATAAAATTGCTGTTCGCAGCGGAGGCAATAATTCTACCACCACTCCAGACCATTGACCCAACAGCACCTATAGAAGAGAACGCAACCAATACCGAAACAAACACTCCTGAATGAATTGCATCACCAAGTTTTGCGCTCATGACCTCTTTGAAAACTCCATTATGACCTTCTTGAGGATCAATTATTGCTATAAAGGAAAGAATAGCAAGAATATCTAAGGAGAGTGAATGTCCAACATTATTAATAACGGTTTGTGTACAAATAAATAAATAAAAATAAAATAAAATTCACTTACATAATATGCTCACTAAGACAACGCTGAGGAGATTCGAAGTCTTTAACTTGTGAGATGGATTATTCATCTCGCCCAATGAATCTAACAAATTAAAATCTCAAATTTAATAAATTGAATAACAATAATGATAGCAATTACGAAATTTACAATTAAGGTTATTCCACCCCTCGTAAGAAAATAGGACTTGCAACATGGCATGACAATAATTGCCAAAATTATTCCATCCGGGTGTTCCCGAGAACAGAATGTTCCAACTTATTCGGTTCGGATTTTCCTTTATCTTTACTAACCCAATAATGGATATCAATAATAATGTTATTGTCTTCACAATGGCCAGTATCATGTTTATCCATTTGGCTAGCCAGCTAGAGAACACGTGATACAAAGTCACTATAGTTAGTATGGCAAACGCAATCGCGCGTATATCCAAAAATTGAGGATCCTTTAAATAATTTTTGGGATGTAAAGTTGTGGTGGTATTCGCATATTCGATGGTGTAGTTATTGGACGCCGCGTATATCAGATATTCAGATGCAATTATGGAATCTATCACTATTGCACCGCTTCTTATAAGGCTGTTAGATTGCAAGAAATGAGTAAGATGAGCAAAAGAGTATAATGAAATGAATTATCATCGCTCACGTTATCATGCAGAAACTAAATAGATATCCCATGATTTTATGTGGATTCGGAAACGATCGTTCGAGGTATCTTTGTTCGCCACCTTATTATTTTTTTCGAAGAAAAAAATTATTATTATTATTATGTCAAGGTAATAAATCTAATTTTATTTACCTGAAAAGGGTATTTTGATACCGAGCTAAATAGAATCGCATAATATTTATAGCAATTCACATAAAGAATTGGAAGGCTGGTGAAGTCAACTGA